TTTGAATTGAGTAGAATTTATTGACTTCTTACTTTTATATTTATCTAGATCGATTTGTATAATCGATTGTCAATCGCGAGGTGGTATATCATATGTTTTTGAAAAATCATGGGAAATACTAATTAAATCTTTGGTTGATTTAGTCTATTGATTTGTTAAAGTTCATAATTGTAAAGATTTTGTTAGTTTTGTTGCAAATATTTTCGAGGTGATTGAAGAAGAATCTTGTTCCAGTGAGCAATTATCGACAGTGTTTAAAGTTATTATGAAAAATTTTAGAAAAAATAACGTTCTCTAAATCTTCTATCATCTTTGATTCTTTTATTACTTGCCTCTAAGACGTTGTTGTTTGTGCTTGGTGCGTACAGTTGTATACATTCAAACCAACCATCATTTTATTTGAGCATATTATTATCAAAATAACAAAAAAAATCTAATACTAATTGGCTTTTGTTTGTTGTTCATGTTCTATTTCTTTATAAATAGTATTGGTGTTGATTTGAATACAGCTGTAGCATTGGATAATTAAACCACTTTAATTACTTCTATCATTTTGTAATATGTATATCATCTATTAGAATCATATTATAATACATTTCGATTTTCATATGTATCATTTAATTTTATTTACTGATTTTTCGATTTATCAACAAGCCTAATTATTTTAATAACTGATCAGTTAAATAATTTACTGATCGTTCGTTCAATCTACAGATCATTCATTGTTTTACTGACCATTTCATTAATTCCACTGGCTACTTAAATGATACCCTAAAATTTCCAATAAAAAAACAACAATGTATGCTTTGATGATATTGTCATGATTATTTTGCACATATCGTCATGCACATTTTTTTCTGTATTAGTATTATATACCTGTACGAAGAACAAACGAGAGAACAAGCAAAACAATGGTAAAATTTGCAAGAGAAAAAACCAAGGTATGTATTAAAATTAATCTCATCATTTTTCGCGATACAGTTGAATGCGCGCAACAATACATAGTTTTCAACGTAAATATAAGTAACATTATGCTTTAGTTCGAAGCATATAACAACGTCGGCACATTACAGTGATATTATCCTCCTGAACAGACAAGATTCTCTACGAATCCAACGAGCAAATGTATGTATCTGCGAAACTGTAATCTCTTTAGAAGATTTCCTTTAGTAATAAGTATAAAGGAGATTTTTCTGTTTTCAAGTAGTGACAATAACAGTGTATAGTGTTATTTTTTTATGATGATGGTTAACGTCTTTTTGACCAATTTGAATTTAGAGGAATGAAGCTCGCGGATTCAAATAGGAATGCGTAGCTAGGGGAACGCAGCCTCAGAATTATTCATCTATATTTAAATGTATATAAGCCCCTTTTTTTCAGATGGGAGAGTGGACGGTATAAGGATTCTGAGATTTATATTTATTTATATACATAAGACACTGAAGAACCAAAATTAAAGCAACTAATCATATATGTGTATATGATTACGTAGAGGGTGACGAGCTGATCCAGAATATTTATGTTTTTTTTTGTGGAATTAGTTGTTAGAGTAGTCGTCTCGGCTTTTGCTGATGACCTATTGTTATGAAAAAAAAGTGAAATAACGATAACTGGAAAATTGTCAGTTGTTTTTCTTTTCTTTGAATTTCAAAACTGCTTGTTTCGGATTTAATTTAAAAAACTGAATCTTTGAAAATCATTTAATAACACAGTTCTTCTTTATTTCTATGTTCAGGAAGTCAAAGTATATCATTATTTTCATAAAAAAACAGGTAAAGTTCATCGAATGTCTATTCACTTGTGTGAAAACTGAAAGATGATGAAATTTTATGTTAGTAAAAATATTTTTACAATAATCAACATCGGATTTGTGTGATCTGCTAACCTCTTGTTGATACAAGGAAGCCATTAAGAATTGTATGAAAAGTTTAACTCTCGATGCTACTAATTCGCATAAAATATTTAAAAAAAAAGCTTTTCTCGTTCCATATCGAAAACTTTGTCACGACTTGTAACAAGGACGAAAAGTCCATATTGTAATAGAGAATCTAAATCGCTTTGAAGTTCGAAATTCATATTGTAAAACTCGGAGACCAATATTCAAGTGAGTATCTTTAAAGAAAAATCTGTAAATGAAAAATTTCAATAGTGAAATCAGAAAACTCTGAAAGGGTACAAAAGATTCATGTTTTTGCATTTTATCTTCCTTTGTCAGTATATTTGACACAGGGAACCTTTTAAGAATGGCAGAAAATTTCGACATAGCTACTATTTTCTGAAAGATGATTCACTTTTTTCGGCAGATAGTCTTGTATTCATTATCTATAATATTTGAGTATGACGGACGTAGAAAAGCCACATTCGATTTTTGAAAGTCGACATATTAGGTTTGGACTAAATTAATCTTGAAATCAGGTACTTGAAAAGATACGACACCTAGTCGATAATAGTGTAGATTAATTTTCAATAGATGACAGATTTCTCTAAATGTGATAAGTGTTATTCGAAGCATTGAGATGTGCAAGCGACAGATTGATGCGAGTTTGGAACTACAGCATCAAATATCAGTAAAAGAGTTTTAAAAAATACGTTACTCAATTTCATGAAATAATCGAACGTAAAATCAGTTGAAGCATCATTAAAGAACAGAAATTGAAGTAGGATTTGACAACTATGAATTCTAAAGTATAGAGAAAGAAATACTATAGGATTATCAAACCTACTTCGCAATCTGACAACATATCAACATCAAGATGCACATGGATAGAAAATACAAGGAAAAGCGAGTTTAAAAATGGATATTGAACGAGAGTATTAAAATCAACCTGTCATCGATACGAACATCGATATCTTGGTTTTAGTTACCGTTTCTTACATACTAGAATTTATAATCTAGGAAACCTTAGAGATTATTTTGTAGAAACCGATTCAGAAAATTTCTTCGCATGGGACATATTCTCATTATTGTAGGAGAAATTTTTCTTTTTTTGAGTCAGAACAGAGACAATGCCTAACGATAGAGAAAAAGACATGGTCTTTTTCACTTATATCTCTCATTTGTGCTTACATTTTTATTTTCACCAAAAATAGAAGACAGTGTAGTATGTTTTTTCTTTTCTGTTATCTTTAGTGCATTGAACAATTTATTGTTACAGCAAGAAATATCTAAAAGGATATTCTTGTGTGTATTCCTTCATTTTCCAGTTCATATGCGTTGCTGAACAATAAGTCAGAATGTCCATCGTCAGCAGATCAAATTCTGATGAGATGTTCATTCTTCTTTACTAGTTCTCCTCCTACAAAAAATAGTTCTTGTTGATAAACAACAAAAACAAAATTCAATCAATCATTTATTTCTTTGTTTTCATATCTTTCTCTTGTTATAGATACCAAAACATATATTCGATATCTTGAATATATTCAAGCATTCAACAACGAAACGATAATTCAAAAATCATGAGTCAACATGTTGAATTGCAAGATCGGCGCGAAAATGCTCGTTTAGTGATCCCGGATTCTCAAGATTCAAAAATAACTGATCCTATCGTCGGCTATGCTCAAGAACCACTTCTTCCGCTTGTCGGTGCATGCAAACCGTTGGTTTCTATTGTCTTTAATATATTGGTGTATGTTTCAAATGCTCTGGAAAACACTCCTGATAATCCATCAGATGGTCTGACAAGCGATGAATCAGCTTCGATTTATCTCTACACGATGGAGTGGAGGGATGGACATAGAAGTCTCTATTCCATTCTCAATGAAACACTCAGATCAGCTGATCGCGAACATTTACGACCTTGGTTCAAGTACCTGAAACTTTTACTTACTGGTTTGGTCAAAATACAATGTGCACCCCAACAGACAGTTTGGCGTGGGATACGAAAAGATCTTAGTTCCAAATTTCCTCAAGGAACTCAGGTAACCTGGTGGGGTTTCTCATCTTGCACAACAACCCTCCCTGTGTTAGAAAATGATCTCTACTTGGGTCAGGAAGGAACTAGAACTCTCTTCTCCATCGAAACTTTCAACGCTAGGAATATACGAGATCATGCATATTTTGTCACCGAGGACGAAATGTTATTGCTGCCAGGGACATATATGGAAGTACAATCACAATTCAATCCGGCGCCTGATCTTCACGTCATTCATTTGAAACAGATGGTACCAGACAATATGTTACTCGAACCTCCATTTGAAGGTATATTGAAAAGCTAAAAGATAAGTCGTAGCATGTCTGCTGTAAAGAATTATGATCTGATAGTATTAATAGATTTGAAATTTTAGAACTTTCGGCTTCATTCAAGAGTCATTATTAACTCTGTCGTACAGCGAATAGCTATTTGTCAAACTCATAGACGATTTACATGTCATCTATATGTTTATATGAAAAGACTTTCTATTGTATTATTAACAAATACTCTGATTCTATGCGAATTGTGCGAGTGCTTTTTCTTTTAGAAATACTATCTTAAACTGTGATCATTCCGACAAGGCATTTTCTACATTTCTTTGACATAGTATGTTCTTGTCCATTACACATATGTCGTATGACATGTTTTTGTCTGTATCTCAATCACATATTCTGTCCCGTAGCTCGATGCATCTAAGTGACTTATGAATATAAGTTATGTTTATGAGATATGTATAGATTTCTCTTGAAAGTTCAAGAAGCATGAGATTCATGCGTCGGACTAATGTTTCGATTAACTAATAAATAGCTTCAATAGAATAAATCAAATTAACCTCACACTTGTAATATATAGCTGGAGAGGATCACTGAGCTGTTTATTATATTATTATGAATCACGACTAATGTCTTATCTGTCTGCACGAATAGATGAAATAGTAATCACCATAAAAGAAAAATACCAAAAAATGAAACACGTGCAGAAAATCCAAACAGTTACCTACCCAAAAAATTATAATCTTCACATTATTTTGACAAAATGAGCTTTTTGTTTCTGATGATAGAGAAGGGTTCCAATTGCTTATTCCTATGTGAAAAAAAATTAGTAACATTGCTGAGAGGTAGTATTATCTATTCAAAACTTTCTGCTTACTCAAAGGCTTCACTAAAACCTCTCAAATGTTTTTACAAAGAATAATCCTGACGGATTCACGTAAATATAGTTAACTTTTGGTAGGGTGTGTCCATGAACTATGAACCATAAAAACGCAAAACGTATTCGAAAGCTTTTTGACAGATTCCATTCTGTAGAGACTTTTTTCACTGACTATTTCATTGAAAACATCTTCTACGTGCATCGACAAATAGAGATGCTGAATTAAATGATGACTCCTGACCTATGAGGTTTCAGAGAGATTTATTGCTCTTCAGCGGTTTGAACCTAGCGCCGTCATTCATCGAAAAAATAGAGCATTAATTTTGTTAAAATGATTAGCGAAAAATGCTTGACAAGGTACCTCAGATACCTTCGCTGCTTGGTGGTTAGCTGCTGATGTGCAAATATCTGAAAAAAGTCAAATTCTGCATTAAAGCTCGTAGTACTCGATTTCAAATGTGTCAATAATTCGTTGATATATGAATAAAAGCCTTGGAACTTTTGCGAATCGTTTAGAAACATAAGCTGATTCGATAAGAATACAGAAGAGGCATACAATGTTTTTGCTCAGTAACTTTCCGCACACCCTATAGGTTATATGTGAATATTCGATGAATCCTAACGAAAGCTGTTCGAGGTCATATTGTAGTATTAGTTAGTCAGCGTCCTTTATCTTGTATTATGTGTAATTCTTCTGCTACTAACGATGGAGGCGTTTATGTTGTCAATTCAGGAGATTAGATATATTCAGGTCAAAATTAATCTCCGATCGCTAAATTTACAAATTTTGAAATATAGACTGCTGTTGGTTTGCATGGACCGAGATATTCAAGTTTTAAGGTATGTACACAGTGCATTTCGAATGGTCAGAATCCAAAATTTCACTGGAATTTTCTCTTCTGTTTTCTTGATGAATCGGATAGTTAACAAATATACAAAGGTAAGAATTTCGGGTCTATTCCGCATTATATTAGGAAACCATGGTAACTTGAACGTTTTCTCTAAGATTTTTTAGATCTCTTTTAAAAATATGAAACATTTTTTCTATTGTAACTTGATCACCTCTATCCGATTACACCAAGAAAACAGAAGAAAAAATTCTCGCGAAATTTTGGATTGTGGCCATCCTACATCCACCGTATATATCTTAAAACTTGAATATCTCGATCAGCGCACATTAACAGCAGACTATATTATAAATTTTTAAGTTTGGCGATCAGACCTTCAATTCGATCCGAATATGTCTGATCTTCTTCACTGACAACATAAATAGCTCCATTGTAAGACATGTTGAATAATCTAAATGATTTGTTTTGAATTGAAATATTTTTATATATAGGTGCATGCCTTTATCCAAAAATAACTGAGTAAGTCTCGACGCATCTTCATCTAATGGTATTTTTGACGTAACGTTTCATTAGACCACCGAGGCGTCGTTGGTATAGCAGGAAGATATTCTTCATTCCAGTCAGCGTATTAGCAACGATGTTAATTATAGCAGTTGTTCTCGGTTCTGTTTTAGGATCAAGATCTACTAACAATGCACCAGGTATGTATTTTGGTTTTCTTTTCAAATCGAAGACAAAACAAAGATGAATAACATTTGAATCTTAAAGTCCTGTTTGTTCCTTGTTGACTGAATTATTTCTACACAATCTGTTATCTTTCTACTTTTTCGTATGATTTGACAGAGTTTTCAATTATTTTTCGAGCACACCCCAATTACTTTTAATTCCATCAAAACACCATCAAGGTTTGAACTGCAAACAGTGAATAGTACCGAATCCTAATTCGAAAAAATAGTATGCGTTTATTCATAGATGATATACTAGCATTTCTTGCGCCAAGGGTGCACACTAAATTTAAATGCGTCTTGTTTATGTGTCGTGCTTAGAATGTCTTTTATACGAATTTGTCGCGTTTTTCCTGCTGACTATTCGTTCACCGTTTTGTTATACGCACATAGCGATATATAAACAACGCGGCTGGACCTACGAAAGATAAATTTTCAAAATATTGTTTTTTTCTAAATTATTTCTCGATCATCTTTTTGTCCAGAAAATGCTAATCTCGATCGATGATCGAGAGAGGACTACCCCGAAGTGGTCTGATGCAAATCGAACCAACTCGAGATCAGACGGATCCCAGGATCTGACCCACTTGAGTTTTTAGAATAGGAATAATTAAATGGAATCAAATTGAAAAAAAAACAAAACGAAATATGCTTTTCCAAAAGAACCAATAGAAAGTGTGTCGCAGTGAGCTTCTCGTGTCGTACAATGTGTCGCAAATCATGACACATGCGGCACATTTTAACTTAGTGTGTATGGGATATAGGTGTGGGTGCGAGTGTGATTCTGTTCTTCACATCCACACCTACACCCACATCCACGCCCGTCCACATCTGCACTCACGCTGCAATTTGTAGATGACGTAAGTTTTTGATTAGAAAACCTTGTTGAATGTAGTCAAGATGCTGACATATGTAGTTACTCATAATGTAAGAAGAATGGTCATAGATTTGGTCTCAGCTAACACGAACTTTAGTCAAAGTCAAAGCGAAGTTTCATAGAGGTTTCATTGCAATTCATACTGTTAACTAAATATTTATTGCAGATGTAAAATGGACGAATTGGGAGGGGGATGACAGTGAGAACAAAATACTCACCAACCTTATATATCAAGGCCGTTGATTTTATGGCATCATTTTTTGTTTATTTTTGATTTTTGTGTATAAATGCACTAGCACCTCGATTAATTCATGTTATGATGTACATTCGATCGTAGATTCAAGTTCAAAGAAAAAAGCTCATCGCATTCATAGTAACAATTACGTCGAGCGAACTCTATGACTTGTAATTAATTAGGAAGAAAAAGCAAAACACTAGTTTAGAGTGCTCTACATATTGCAGCATATCAAACAGGAACATTGAAGCCTAATATTTAGTAAGCTTTGTAAATTGAAGATAATGAAATGTAGAACTGAAGGTATAAGCTTTATAAAAATTGGTATCAGAAAATTTTTCAAAACTTCAAATGGCAATTTGAAGTTTTCATTTGAATATTTGGAAACAGTTCACCTCATAAAATAAGTTCTCTTAAACTCAATATAAATTTTTTCAAATATTAAACAACTAAATTTTGAGACTTATAATTATTGCCTATTCTAGCAGTGTAAATTAGAAAACCAATTGAAAATTAATCTAATGGTTCTTAAATTTCGATTTTCTGCTCACAAATCAGAAGACACTTTTTGGAATGTAACACAAGAATTACGTACAAAGGCCCCAGGATCTTGCTGTCTTACTACTCATGAAGATTTACAGGTATTCACGATACATGAGCAGCTCAGTGACGATAGAATAGGAAAGAGTAAAACACACATTCGAACACAAGCATAGTGAATTATAGAACCACAGTGCATGTGATGACATTTTCAAATTCTACATCTGCATGATGAATGCTATTGAAATTATTCTTTTATTTATGTTCTTACAGTGAATATGTGTGATGGTTTCGTACGTCATGAGAACTGGGACATTTATGGAAATGATATATCCCTTGTAGGTGGAGTTATCAATTATGCTACCTGTTGCTCAATATGTCGAGCAAATAAAGAATGTGCTGCTTTTGTGTATTCGCCATCAAGCAAAGAATGTTGGTCGAAAAAGAGTGTGGAAAGTGGTGGAATCTTCAATGACAAAAAAATATCTGGATATAAGGGTAAGTGTGCCAACTCTCTGTTAGTAAGTGCCATGTCATCGACAAGTGGAACTCAACAAATAAGGCTACTCTCTCGAAACGTACTGAATGATTTGAAAAACATTTGAAAGAAAACTAAACTCTCGACAATTTTTCTTGTCATACATTTTTTGACGAGAAGTTTGCAAAAGGAATATCCGAAAATCTTTCTCTGTTGATGCAACATATTCATGTCACTGAAAGTGAGGATCTTAAAAACTAGTTCCAGTCTGTTTGTCAATTTTGAGCTTTTTCAATCAGAACTGCTTATTCATAAGATATAATTAACAGGAGGAACTTTCAGTGACGGGTAAGCGGAACGAAAAGGCATTTTACTCGTTGGATGATCATCTTTTCTTGTTCTTTCTTGCAACAGACTTTCAATTTCATGAAAGATGAAATATGCTGCTGTTTCTTATTGTTGTACAATAAAGCTGAATAATCAAGATAGCACGACGAAAATGAGAAAGCAGAAAAACAAAAGAATACACTAGAAAATGAAAGCGCTTTGGATGAACTTGAATCCACGCTGTTGCATCTAGAAAGCGCACCTTTGCGCAGTTGTATCACAGAGTAAGAGGAGCTTTAATTCCATTTTGCTTTAAGTTTTTCGAATATAATGCAAGAGTTAGGTACAAAAGCACTAAACTATCGTTTGCTTGTCACACATGAAGATTTGCTAGCATTCCAGAGCACCTCAACGACGAGAAAATAGGAAAGGACAAAAAATTCCCTCAAGAAAAAAACACAGTGAATGTGGTCACTTTCTGAACTCTTTTATCTGTCTTATGGTTGCTATTGAAATAATCCTTTTATTTATGTTCTAATAGTAAACGTCTGTAATGATTTCGTAAGTAAAGACAGGTGGAACATACCTGGTAATGATATATTATCTTCTTCTGTTCAACAACCCGATTATGCTAGCTGTTGCTCAACATGTCAAGCAATTTATGGATGTCTTGCTTTTACATATTCACCATCAAGTCAGCAATGTTGGCCGAAAACAAGTATGAGCAGTGGTAAAAACTCAACTGACGATACTATCACTGGATATAATCGTGAGTGTTTCAGCTTTCTGTTAGGAAGTCCCGCATATTCGGCAGAGAACCTCAATAAACGAGACTAGCTCTTTGAAGTTTACTTAATGATTGAAAAAAATATTTGAGAGAAGTTTAAACTCTGGACATCTTTCTTGTGATACGGTTCTTGAGGAAAATTTAGCATATGCAGTGTCGTAAATTCTTCCCAACTGAAATTGAGAGTGAAAGATTAATGTCTATCAGTTTATCAATTTTGCACGTTTTCAATCGAGCTCTATTGCTTGTTAGATGCAATCAGCACGTAAGAATTTTATTGACAGGTTAGTGGAACGAGGAGCCACTTTACATATTGTTTGATAGGGTTTTATTGTTCTTTCTTGTAGAAACGTCATCCAAGAAAACAAATTAGACGCTTCTTGTTCTTTCTTGAAACAAATTTTCAGTGGAGTGAAACGTGAAATCTTATCCTTTCTGTTCTTATGGAATAAACTTGAACGGACAAGAAAAAACGAAAAAAGTGAGAGAGTAAAAAAAAGAAAAGAACAGAATTGAAACTGAAAACGCTCTTGATGAGACAGAGCCTGCACTCTTGCATCCAGTAAGGACAGCTTCACACAGCTGCATTCCTGAGTAACTAGGTCTGTACAATCATTTTGCTTCAAGTTTTCGGAATCGCTACTTCCAATTTGTAGATATTGAGAAAAATTATGTTTAAATAAGATGAGTATGTTTTAAATTATAAGTTCATTTGCACTTGACGATTTTGTTAATTTTCGCTACGATAGTCTAATATGATATTGAAATCTTACATATTTCATGAAGGTGAGTCCATATGAGTAATAAGTGTTCATCAAAACTTCAAATAACAACTTTTTTTATAGTAAGAGAAAATGCTGCATTTTGTATACTGCATACTTTTTGCAACTGTGAAGTGGACAAATCGAGAGAGAGAGAGAAATGACAGTGAAGTCAAGATGCTTACTAAAATTCATCACATTCATAATAAAAATTACGTCTAGAGAACTATATTACTTGTAATTAATTAAGAAGAAAAAGAAAAAACACTAACTTAGCGCACTCTACGTATTGTAGCACATCGAACAGAAATCATTATTTTCAAAAATTTAAAGGAAAAGTTGAAACTTTCATTTAAATATTTCCAAATAGTTTCTCTCATAAATACATTCTCTTAAACTCAATCTAAATGTTTTCAAATTTTAAACAACTAAATTTTGAGACTTAAAATTTTTGTTTATTCTACTGGTTTAAATTACAAGACTGATTAAAATTGAATCTAATAGTTGTTGAATTTCAATTTCATGCTTCCAAATGATATGGCACTTTCCGGAGTGCAATGCAGAAATCAGACACAGAAGCTCTAGGCTTTCGCTTTCTTGCCATTAGTGAACAGCTCGATGACGACAAAGTAGGAAAGAGTTAAACACATATTCGAGCAAAAATACAGTGAATGTGATCACTTTTTTCGACTCTTTCATCCGCATAATGAGCGCTATTAATATTATTCTTTTATTTATCTTTTCATAGAGCACATGTGTGATGGGCTCGTACGTAAAGACGGGTGGGATATACCTGGTAATGACATATTACCTTCTCCTGTACAACAACCTGACTATGCTAGCTGTTGCTCAAAATGTCAAGCAACTCCTGAATGTATCGCTTTTACGTATTCACCATCAAGTCAACGATGTTCACTGAAAACAAGTATGCGTAATGGTGGAAACTCAACTGGCGATACCATTACTGGTTATCGTTTTCGTAAGTAAACTGACTTAAATTCAGTGTCTAGTATAAGGGTGCATGCGGAGGGAGATATTCATCTTAGGTTCTAAGTGTGCTTGTGAGTATGGGTGCGGATGTAAAGCAAGGATTTTGTTAGATGTATTTATAGCTTTGATTGCGGCTGCGGGTGTAGTTGTGGTTTAATCGTGACTTCAGAGATGAATCACACTCACATTCAGATGTGTCCTTAACCAGCCTGCATGCTTTATGCTCATGACAGTTAAGTGTGAAAAGTTCGAAGCATCTTGTATGCGGAAGTGTGGATGTGTTTTGAACAGGACGAACATTCACACTCATACCCAAAATATTGAACCTATTGGAACCTATTTCCGATTATGGTAATATCGTTCATGTTGCCTTTGACAGTTTTAAGTTCATGTTTTTCTCTATATACCGTCTTTTACGATTATTCTTTGTATTATGATATGTATAATTGTATGATACTTTGTTTAAAAAAATAATCATGCTTATTAAATAATCTTATAGATATCAAATTTTAAACTAAAGAATGTAGAATATAATTTACAATTATATTTTCATATGAAATGTGACGCATTACTCTTGCCGAAAACATAGTCAAATTCTTTATTAATGAAAGGATTAAGTTTTATTGACAAGTTATTTTCTTTAATAGAAATGAATGGTTCGTTTCAATTAGAAATGAAATATTTAGGATTATTGATATTTTCTGTCACTCTTCTCTGATGTCTCAAACCAATTTGTATTTTATATTTTTTTTTTTTACAGTTTAATCATATATCAATTATATTGAGCTCGAATATTCTAACACAATATATCACAGATGATTGTAGCAGAATGTATGTCGTATTGAAGTCAGTTCAGACCAACTAGCAAAGAAGTAATTATTTATGAATTGATGACTGTCTCACTAAAATATACAGTTCGATTTTATTTTTATTTTGATAATAAAAATAAATATTCCTATGACTCTGAATAATTAAAGACTTCATACATTATTGATGTAGGATATGGATGACACAAATGAATATTAGTGAATGGAGTCCATAATAGACATGTTTGATAACCACTTGAAGCATTACTTCAAATCACAGTTCGCGTAAAGAAAGTCACTCAAATTAAAAAATTTGATACATTTTCACAAGTAATTTTTTTCTCAAGATTTGGATTTCATTTCGAATCTCATCACTTATACTAATATCTAATGGAGAATACTGAAATATTGATTGTTTTTTTTTCTTGAGATATAGTTGTTCTCAGCTTTCAGTTGATGGTGTAATGGATATAATTGAGAAGCATACACAAGAATCGAGATAAATATCATAAACTAAAACAGAAGTGCAGCTTTTGATAATTTGTTAGTTTTTCAAGTTACAGCTTGTTATCTCTTGCTTTCATGTTCGCTAATTTCATTATTCAAAAACCAATTCGCTTTGATCTTTTTCTTTTTATTAATTTTATCTATCTAATTTATGAAGAACCTCTATGTACCTGACTAAATCAAGTCACATAACTTGTTTATTGACTCTACGTTTATCTTAATCTGGTGACTATTACATGAGGTACTACAAAAGTTTTTTCACCCGCTTCTTCTATGCTTAGACATATTTAGGATTATGGGCAAAATTTCAGCCTTATAATTCTTATCCTTTGCTGTTGTCCATCATTTGTTTTACGCTAAGTGAGTGCGACTTGCTAACTGATGAATTGTAATAGATGGCAGAACTTTGCATTTCATATTTCGACCTCTAAATATGTTCTATATAAAAAACAAAATATATCAGAAGATTCAGCGTGAACAGCTCTACAATTTACATGGAAGAATTAGTTTTGCAGTTGCATTTTTAGTGCCAGAAATTGATAAAATTCTGAATACTAAATTTTCGATGCTGCAAAATCAATGTTTGTTTTTTGATAAGAGACCATTCGTTTTTTTTTATTTCATCTTTGTTTTATCTGATATTTTCTCTTAAATAAAAAAACAAAACATACTATCAGCTGTAGCATGAAAAGCTCTACAATTTACATGGAACAACACATATCATATATCCATCTTTTATTTTTAAACAAAATGCAAAATTCTGAGTAATCAGTCTTCGACGTTGCAAAAATTCTACACGAGAAAAGATTTCCTTTTTTCGTATTTCATCTTTTTATCAATCAATATGCTTTCTTAGAAAAAAAAACAGAATATGACGAAAGATGCAGCGTGAAAAGTTCCACAATTTAGAAAGAACAGTTTATTTTAATTGTATACTTTTTATTTTCAAAAAGAAACGAAACCCTCCGGAGTACTTTTCGCAGCAGCATCGAAAATTGATTGCTTAGAACATTGTTTATTTTCAAACAAAAAGCACACAATTAAGATAGGCTTTACATTGTAGATCGTAGAGCTGTTCACGCTGCATCTTCTGGCATATCTTGTTTTTCGCATTCATCTAGCGTAAAACAAATGATGGACAACAGCAAAGGATAAGACTTATAAGGCTGAAATTTTGCCCATAATCCTAAATATGTCTAAGCATTATAATAGAATACTTAAATCTAAACTACGGTTTTTAAGAAGAAGCGAGTGAAAAAACTTTTGTAGTGTCCTATGTATAAAAGAAATTCTCGTATTTATCGCTGTCGCGACTCATGGTGTGAACTAAATATTAACAAATTTCACCACGACATTGATGACGTTATAGTTCGACCTGAAATTCATTTTTTAAATTTTAAAAAGTTTATATTGGAGACATGAAGAAGAAAAAAAATTTATTTCGCTTATAGACTAGTTATCGAAATTAATTGTTTACTTTAATTTTTGGCTCGACTAAGAATTCATTATATGTTATAGATATTCAAATTGAATATGTTAGAACAAATATATGATTTAGTAATTAACCGTTGTTTTTTTTCTTGAAAAAAAATAATTCGACTAAGTTTTCGTTGATCGTTTTTTAATCAAAGCAGTTGGTAGGAAAATTTTTTACTAGGAATACTTGTATTGAATAAACACATTCGAAAACTTCTCTATATCATTCGTTGAAAAACAGTATATATAAGGGTTATCAGTGAATATTTTAGTGATTGTGATGAAATAGAATTTTCGAGTGATAATGGAGTGTTTTAATATAATAGACAATGAAAATTGAAAAGATTCAATAGGTTTCGTTCTTTTTTTTTTGAGAGATAGAGAGAGAAAAAAGATTAAACAAGTATCCATAATCTGAAAAAATATTTTTGCAGTCATAAGTATAAACTGACAAGATGTGTTCAAAAGCGATTCGTGTTATACAATAATCCATACGTCTGTTCGCTTAGAAGATTTCAAGGGAAAGCCTATGTAATATTTTGAATTACAAAAAATCTTGTCTCTGAATAAAAAAAAACACAGAAGTTTCAAAGGATTTCTGGCGCTCAATCTTTTCGCCATTTTTAAAATTCTTCACATAACATCTTTACGATATTAAAATCAATATATGAAAAATTCAGAATTTATAAACCTTCATCATTTTTGGAACAATGAGTTTTAGTTTTTAATTATCTATTACGATTAAATATTTTTCAAAGATCTATTTGAATAATTCGATTATTTTTACTAACTCGCTTACTCTTTCCTACGAGAAATTCGATTAAATATTTTATTGTAAAACAATAACAAGTACACGATTCTGCGTTAACAAATATTGAAAATTATTTTGAGCATTGGACAGCTTTGGACCATAAAAAATTAATTGGGCTACGATACATACTATTCAACTTTCAAATATTCCAGCATTTTATGTCAAAATAGCATCCGTGAAAATAAATAGAACAAAATTTACTTTTTGTTTCATCGGATAATGAAGAATGTTCTCCTTCCCCGAACAATGACAGGCGTTATGGAGCATTTATCGTTACATATTCGTTAGATAAGGTTTTATATGCTTGCAAAGGTAAATCAGTATTCATTCACGTTTTTCATTAGCGAATTTAATTGAAACGACGAGTTTTTAACGAAAAAGTATAGTTAAGTTGTCATCATAGTGAACATCGACCTTGATATCATTTCAAAAAACATATAAGCAATAAATTTTCAACTAATGGACAATTGTCTTCATAATAAAATTAGAGCACAATTGTAAAAAAACTCCTGTTTTCAGCTGTAAGTTTCAATGACTGTGTTGAAAAAATTAGATCTAAAAAAATAATTTTTGTTCACAATTTGATAGTTTCTACAAGTTCATATTTTTATAGATTTATTTCTTCTGATTAATTCTTTCTGATCGTACCAGTTAAAGTACAAATATCTCATTAATTGTCAGCAAAATAAAGAACTCATTTCAACGAAATCAATATTTATTTCTACTCCATACTTTTGTTTCATTCCAGTACCACTACGTGCAAGTCTCATTGATATTCATCCGAATGCAAAATGGTCAAAGAATGGTATCACTATTGCTGGAGGAAATGGACAAGGTAGTGGGATCAATCAACTTTCAAAACCATGTGGTTTGTATGTTGATGATGATCAAACAATCTATGTCGCTGATCAATTAAATCACCGTATTGTGGAATGGAAATGGAATGCGACGAGTGGTCAAGTAGTTGCCGGTGGAAATGGACAAGGAATTGGAGATCATCAATTGAATAACCCATATGATGTGATTATCGACAAAGAGAGAGATAGTCTCCTCGTATGCGATAATTCGAATAAAAGAGTGGTTCGATGGCCTCGTCGAAATGGGACAAGTGGAGAAACAATCAGCTCCAACATCTCTTGTGTGGGCTTGACAATGGACGAGAATGGATCTCTCTATGTCTCTGACAATAAAATAAATGAAGTGAGACGATATCTAAGAGGAGAATCTCAAGGAACAGTGATTGCAGGTGGCAATGAATATGGAAATCGTCTTAATCAACTCGGTTACCCACAATACTTATTCGTCGATCGAGATCATTCAGTATACGTCTCTGAATGGAACAATCCTCGTGTGATGAAATGGACGGAAGGTGCAAAAGAAGGCATTATTGTAGCTGGTGATCAAGGACAAGGAAATGGTCTTACACAATTGACAAACACTCAAGGGGTCGTTGTCGATCAATTGGGTACTGTTTATGTGGCTGACTTTTTGAATGATCGGATCATGCGTTGGTCCCGAGGAGCCAAAGAAGGAAGTATCATTGTCGGTGGAAATGGTCAAGGAAATCAATCAAACCAACTGAATCGACCCGTCGGTTTATCATTCGATCGACACGGAAATCTCTATGTCGTCGAATGGGAAAATCATCGAGTACAAAAATTCAACATCGAATCCAATAAATAAAGGACAAGTAACTAAAAAGATACTTTTACACTGTATTAATTGTAAGCATGTCATAAAGGACACTGCGCCGCAGCCATGCGTAAAATGCTTGAAAAACTTTTAATAAATTTCATTATACTTTTAAATAATAATATATTTGACACAACTCAAGAGC